GAAGGAAGAATTTGGGGTAATTGTTATAGTTATGGTTTAAAAGTAAAATGTATTTGAAGGCCATGTAACTGGTGCAATGTTGCTAATGATGTATCAATGTTCTAGCAGGATGTAGCTATTTTTCTACGACATTTAGTTAGTTAATAAACCTCATATCCAAATCTGTAATTTCTAAATTTATAATAATGTATGGCTGTATGAAGAAGGTTGCTTTTCAAGCCTAGAAGTAGGTCAAATAATGAGTTATTGTCCATTTTTCAGATGAGGAAAATAGGGCAATTTTTGTAACACTACCTAATTAAATAAAAGCAAAATTTGTGCATAAGTTTAATCATTAAAACCAGTTTGATTTTTAAGAAAGCAAACAAAAATCTTTCAAGTCATTATCTGTCCTTTTTGCAGATTCTCTCTCATTATTATTGTGTTTATTAGCCATGCAATTCTTATGGACACTGTACAAACAGGAATAGGTATCTGAATTCCATCTAGTTGGCTGTCTTCAGAATTTAAGAACAGGAAAGCAGGCTAGGAGTTCAAAATTTTCTTAGCACAGAGTTTCTTTAATGTCATCAAATCTATTTAGTAGCTTGTTATTGAAAGACTTGGAAAAACATCAGATTTAGGGGAAATTTGAACATAGGGTTGATTGTCTAAGTAGCCTGTAAAGAAAGCCCAGGCACAGAGAAGGAAAATGGTACCTTTCTAGAATTTTTATACTATAGCTTTGGAGAAATCTTTCTGCACAGCTGTGCAAGTGTGCATTCCAGGTGTAATCTTTGAATAGTAAATGAGCAGTCTCATATGGATAAAATTTTAGGTTTTCATAAGAGTTGCCCTTAAACTTCAATTTTATTAAAATAGAAAGTGATTTCTTTTTTTCAGCTGTTAAGGGCTTGTGTTTTCAACTTCAAAATATTATACTGAGTTTTTCTCACTCTGTCATGATGTGTGATAATTAATCTGCATGTCTGCTGTGTGAAATTAAGATTTTCTTGGAAAAGGATCTCCCCTGCACAAATTTGTTTTTTGTTCTTTCTGTTAAACCAACACAGGTGTTATAACAAAAGCCTTGGAAGTCTCTCAGCACATATTAACTCTCTGGATTCACTAGCATCAACAACACAATAATATTTGCGAAGTTATGCAATTGTTTTCATCTGTGACATGGATTAAGATTTGTAATTTTTTTGCAGTTTTTTGGAGTAAATGTTTTTATTATTCTGTGTGTGAATGTTTATCAGCGGTTGTATTCTCTCGCTACATTTTTAATTGTTTTATCCTCCACATATATTTCTGGATAATGCATTTTAAATAGCTATCTAACAACCTGAGTAAATTTAAAGAAGTGGAGAAATTGGTTTAAGAAACTGACTTTCAAAGCAGTCTTCCTAGAGCAAGGTTTTAAGCTTCCCTTGAACAGAACTTTAGCTTTACATATTACCAACGAGCATGGATATACACTTTCAGAGAACTGTTACTAGCACAATCTTTTCTGAAACTTTTTGTAGAAATGTGGAAAACTAAGTGAACAGTTACCCACATTAATTCAGAGACTGAACCTGTTGATTCAGTTAGTGTATACAGTGCGCTCTGGACATATATGGGGCTTCATCCTATTTACCACTTTTCTTACCACTCAGTGAATCTCATGTGACTGCAGCTGTGGGATCAGGTAAACCACAGGAGTTTATACCTGCTGAGAAACTGGCTCAAAGGTATGAGGTACTGCCCCTTCCAGGACCAGCACTGCTCACTGTCCTCTGCCTTGTCTGGGTCTCCCTGCTGGGCGGTGGCAAAAGTAGAGAACCAATGCTGGGTCAGCCATTTCCTTTCAGAGCTTTCATGTCGCTTCCCAGTCTTCTTGACCTTTCTCCTTTTATGGGAGGATGGCAGCGCAAAGATTTTGGTCCCCTCAACCCTTGTTCCTATTTCAGGTCCACCCTGTGTTTTCTCTCTTGTGTTCTCTCTGTTTCAATGTCTTCCCTGTTTCTGACTGACAGGTCTGCCAAACGGAGCTCTTGGTTGCTCCCTCTTTATACACCTCTTAATTCTCTTATGATCATTGTGAGCTCATATTGTGAGTGACTACAGGATCAATAATCCATCTTGGGTTTACTGTCCAGCTTCTTTCTTACAAATTAAACTCCAGGATTAAAATCTCTTGAGCAACACATTTAAATCATCACACTTAGAATTGTATTTGTGAAACTACTCCTATACTTCGGAGTGTCTTTTGAGCATATCTTTGTTCGGTCTTAAATCTGATACAGCCAAAGATGTCTTCCAAGTGCAGCCTTAATGAAGTTCCTTGCAACAGGAACATGCTTTAGAAAGGAGCACCCTTTAAACAGAAAGGTGACTTCATCTGAAGGTGTCAAAGGAAACCAGCTGCACACTCTCTTTTTTCCTTTTGTGCAGCTTGCTCATAGTAATTCACACATGATGTAAGGGATGCGATCTGCCTTGATTGTGCCTGATAGTCTGCTATTTTTTTTACTAACATAAATTTCTCTGAACAGTACGCAAGATTTACTTGATAGTCTTTCTAAAAAAAAATTCAAGTATACTGTAGTTGTAAAGCTGTGCAACCCTTTTAAGATTGATTGTGGTATTGAGGCATTCACAGTCAGTGAAATCATGATATAGCAGTTTGAATATTAAGACTAATGTGAGGGAGAACAGTGTGCTTTTATAATGAAAATGACAGAGAGTGAAGTATGAATCTTCCAGTGAAAAAAATATAGTCCGCTTTCTCCTGGAAAACATATTTAACATATGGATGAGGTCGGGACAGCAATTATCAGAGAGATCATTTGCAAGTTGTCCAGATAGCTGATGTACTCTCTGGTTGCTCCTCTCACAGACAGTGTCATTACAACATCATAACAACAGTTGCTTTAAAATTGTTAGGGGCTCCACCAGCCATAATTATTACTCTCATAAGGTGAAAGTGCATGTTTTGTCATGGCAGAAACCTCTGAAATCTAAATTAATAACAAAATTCAATGCCAGGCAGTTCTTGCAGATTCTGCACCACCCCCACCCCCTTTTTAAGCCTGAAATTCATAGGATTCACCACTTCAAACAGCAACAGAACTTATTGCATTGAATAGTAATAAAGTTTCTAATTCAAATGATACAACATCTATTTGCTTGGCATGAAGAATAACTTAGAACTTAAAATTCAGAAATTTTATGGCATGGAAATAACTTAGCCTAAGATTTTCAATTCATGCTTTTCTACATTTTATAGGTTATTTTTAATGGATTCTTTTGGAATCCTTAGAGATAGAAATTTTTATGGCATGGAAATAACTTAGCCTAAGGTTTTCAGTTCATGCTTTCTACTCTAGAAACATTTTATACGTTATTTTTAATGGATTCTTTTGGAATACTTAGAGATAGAAATCAGCTTACTATAGTGCTTTGAAGCTTAATGGTAGGTGTTGTGTACGTCCAAAACGCTTAAAAAAAACTTCTGAGTTGTCTGCAACATTTGTCAATGGGTATAGAGTACCCTCAACACCTTGTGTCTGCACTGGTCCAGTGCAAGGCGTGGTATAACAAGCTTTACACAGATATACTTGGGCCTCACAACCCTATGCTTTTGAATACAATGCTTTCAAACCAGCAAAACTTAGCACTATAAGTAAAAAAATATTTGCTTACTTAAGTAGGATAACTGTAATTTAAAAAACATCATAAGTATTTTATAGGTAGGTGGTGAAAACCTGAAATTTGGCTGGACTGTAATTTGTACTCTTGCATGAGGTTTTCAGAGATTGGTGAGAATAAAGTTGGACTTATCCAATTTTACAAGAACTTACAAACGTACTTCACATAAGCACCTTGCTTTTCTTTGTACAGTAAAAAAGCACAGTCTGCCAAGGTTCCACTGGTGTTTTATATTAATTCCTGTAGAAACGTGAGAGGAAATTTCCATAAAGTTGGTGTTTCAATAAGCACATACTGACATTGAAACATTACTCTCTGTTACAGGTCTTATGCTTTGTCTAACCACAAATGTTTTAACATGTAGTTAGCTGATTTAGTTTAATAAGTAGAAAAAGCAAAGTGGACATGTATTTTGGTTCATACAGGCATTAGCATATGCTAAATGAAAATATTTTCACTTAAAAAAACCAAAAACATTCCTCAGTTGATAGCCCACAGCAGTTTAACTAATCAATTGATAATTGGCTCATGATCTATCTAAATATTTTAGTAATTGGAGGCCTTGGTTTCTCATCTGTGAGCTGAAAAACACACGTCTACCTTACAGAAAATTGTGAAGTTGTATCAGCTAATGTTTGTGAGGCAGTGAGATACAGTGATGATTGTTTCGGCACATAAAATAATTTTCACATGAAATAATGGGATTTAAAATGCCTTGGGTCATAGAGTACAAAATATGCGTAGCTATCAGTTGAAAGTTGTTATCCTTGCCACCATTAGAATTCAAGCCAATAACTGTTTTGCATTTTTCCCCAAAATTACTCTGTAACAGTAAAATTACTTCCGTCCTCTCCTGGCACACTGAAGTTGCACAAATCTTCTTTATTTCAAGGACAACTAGTCCAATTCAGATTTTAATTACTTGAATATAACAAAGACCTTTCTCCCAACTTTAAAGGGCCGACAAGGAATATCGCACTGCTTTTCAGAGCATTTTAAAATGCTGTTCTGCTTTTGTCTTGTTTCACAATAAAATGTGTGGGTTTGAATCTTGAATAGCTTTCCTGAAACACATGGACAGCTCTGATACAAAGTGGCCTAAAAGGATAAATTCTGGTTTTACTTGGTTTTGGAGCTGTACTTCGTCACACTATTTTAGACCTTTGTAATGAAGCCTAAATAGACATAATATTTACAATATGCAAGAAAATAATTATAGGTTAAATGGATTATTTAAAATAAAATTTGTCAGGTGTAAGTACTTACTTTTAATGTTTAAGTTAACTAGTATTTCATTTGTTCCTCTACTTCACAGCTTCCAAAGAATGAAGATTTTGATAATGATTGCTTTTGTCCTTGCAGCTCGCTTGATGGATGCCATTGGCAGCTCAGTAAGTTCTAGTAATTAAGTTTGCCTATAGAGTTTCTTCTAAATATTTAATACCTTGTCTTCCCTAGTGCTTACAGTGTATCTCAGCTACATGGGATGGCAGAGCCTTTGGTGGAAAAGATTGGAATTCAGAACAAGAGTGAAAGACTGGGGAAATAACCTCAAATGATGTTCAGTGGGGACAAGCTTCTAATAAGGAAAGAGGAAATAAATACATAAATATGCAATGGGAGGTAAATGACTGAGCAGCATCACTGAAGAAAGTAATCCATTCAGTTTGTTACTGGATCTGACATGAAATAGGAGGTGATAGATTATCTTTGCTAAAAAAGGTATCATATGATGCATTAACAGGCACACTGTACAGAAGGCACACAGGCCTGTTATATTACCATTCAGGGGTAATGCTAACTCAGAAGAACACCTTTAGTTTTGAGCAGCATACTTACTTACAGGAAGGCAAAACCCAGGAACTCCTAAAGCGGTGGCCGCAGCAGTAGTATTTCTGGTCACTGACGCTCAGGATGAAGAGTGTTTCTACCCTATTCTACCTTGTCCACTTGTCATACAACTTTTTCCCAAGTAAGATCCACAGCTGCATATTCTTACTTGTTCACATGTTACTGTGATTATATTTCACACTCAGAAACAACGATCAAAGCTTCTTCACTTCAAGCTCCCAAACCCTTCTGCTATGTATTCTGCCTCTCCAACAAGACCCCTTAATACACACACACACTTACTCCACTGCTTAAAATACTTCTGACCTCACCAGTCCTGTACTGCCTGTCTTGGCTGTCCTTCCTAGTTTGATATTCAGGTCTTAACTAGCAGGGACCTGGGAGACTGAATTGTTGATTCATAATTGCCTAGGTGGAAGTGGTTGCTGAATTTACAACTAGGTGAGCATCATTGTTTGTGTCTTACGCTATCTTACGGAAGCCTTTTGTTCAGATAAGTAGCTCTAATGGGGCAGAATACGAAGCACCTGCCACTGTAATCACTTCTGCTCAGTGGAGAAAAATGTTACAGATTTTTACAGAAGCCTACTGAGAAAAAGGCATTCTAATGAAATGCATTTGCTTTCTTTTGATTTTTCATTTTGAATATTATGGGCTTTAGCTGATCCTGTGACAAAAAACTGAGAACATTCTGAAATTTATCTCTAAGTTTTCACATTTTAATCTCATTAAAACACTGGTCTCAATAGAGGTATTTTGGAGTTCATTTAGATTCTAAAAATACAGGAAATAACACCTCAAGTAAAAATTTTGTGTGTTTATAGTTTTCATAAAGTATCCTGAGTCTAATTTATACCATCAATTTTAATGGAAGGTTACTAGCTGCCAAATAATTCACACAATAGTGAAATAAAGATTGCGAATGCACATTAATTGCAGCAGCTGGTTAAATATGGGACCACATGTCCAAGAGCAGAGCTGTCGGCAGTTGTTAGATAATTGCTTCTCAATGTGTAGTGCAAACTGTTGCTTCACTGAAGCAGACAGAACAGGTTATGTTCAGTCTGGTTTCAGTCAGTGGGCACTACTGTCCACTGGAGACATAACAATCAAATTCACATTTTTTTGAGTATTTCAACATTGTAATAGTTTAATTTTGATCAATATCTAGCAAAAGGAAAATCAATATGTTATAGTTGCTGATTCTTATAACCCTCAGTTACATTTTGCTTCTGTATTACTCTAGGTGTGCACTGGTTTAACTCCAATGATTTTAAGAGTTATCCTGTGAAAAAGTGTAGTAGTACATTAAAAGAACAGTCTGGTAATCTACAGACCTAAAAACCATATTGATCCACCCTGAAGTTACCCAGCTAACTTTTGGTTGTCCCATGGGAAAATCAGGTGTGGAATGCCAAATATGAGAAGTGTGGTTTTGCTGTCCAGCAGCAAAGTGTAATGGGATTTGTCTGGAGTTGACAGAAAGAGGCATCAGTGAGGAGGCTAGAGTCAGGGAGAGAAAGCAAAATATCAGATACCAGTACTTTTCATATGTAAGTTACTTTGAAAACTCTGTTTCTGCTCAGTCGTTTCTTTCTGATGGAGTAGTTATTCAGTATGGCTGGTGATGTCGTGATTGCCACTTACTATTTACCAGCACTGCGAGCTTAAATCCTTTTCATCAGAAAATTGCTATGTGGATTGTAGATATATTACTGTTGTCTGTAAAGCAGATGAGAATCAGGTCAGTGTTATTTTTACATTTTTACATTTTCATGAATTAATTCACAATTTTTAAGTAAACAAAAAGGAAAGATCCATTTAAAATGCAAAGTTAAAAATCGTGTTTAGAGACATAGCCTGTTGCAGACTTGTGCTTAATTTTATTCAAAGGAAAGGACCTTTTATGGTGGTATATGAAGTAGTATCGTACTACTGAATGTAGATACCAAGTTTTTCTGAGGTATGATAATATTTTTTGAGAAGCTCTGTACTTCTGTATGATTTAATTACAGTAGGAGAATGGCTTTTCGGGGTATGAATAGGTGAATATTCACTACACCTGAAACACACTTAGCTGCCTGTAGCTGCCTCTCCTTAAATGCACAGACTCGTGCTGTCTCCAGAACTTAAAGTAGCTCTTTGTGGCTCAGCCCTTGCCGTGTGCTAAAGAGACTACCGGCCTGAAGTCTTGCCGGTGAAACTGCAAGGGCCTGGCGGCTGCGGCCACTGTTGCCAGGATCACCCAGGTCTTTCCTGTTGTGTTTTACCACGTTCTCCAAGGTTGCGAGTACTCAGTTCAGAGTGATACAGGCTGACCTTCTCAATAAACAAACACTGCAGTAAAACCAGTAAGCGTGGCATGGTGGCTCCTTTATCACTCTTCACTTGATATGATTGGGCTTAATATTTGGTCTCACTGTTAACATGGGGTTTTTTTGAAGTTTTACTTCTATAGTTAGCATTTGGAAGTTTTACTTCTGTAGTTAGCATTAGCTCAATTAGGGTGAGCCCGGGAGCTTTTTTTTAAGTATTTATTCACTCTTTCTCAACACACCTAATACAGCACTCTGGTTCTGTGTAGTTTTCTGTATATACTTGGGACTAGCCTGAGAATTTGCAGACCTGTGGAGGAAGCCTCTTCTGAATTTCCCAATTCAGCTCAGCTTTTGTGAAGGGTTTATGTGAAGTTGCAGACAACCACCCTGGAAAGACTGCATATTGGTGCATCCTGTCTTTGTAACATGCAACGTGTCACACATGAACCAGTGCTGATGGCCAAATAACATCCCTCTAAGCCACTGTAGCAGGTCTCTATGTGCATATATTTTAAGTATTTTCTCCTATTTTTTTCCTGCTAGAAGCAAAGGATGGTATGCTAGGGATCTCGTATAGTTAGCAACAACTGAAAAAGATTTTCAAGGGAGTATTCTTAAATAAGATAGGACTCTAGGGATATGAGGTCATTAGCTGCTTTGTTTATTCTTCTAAAAATGTTAGTGTTTGGTAAACATGCCTCTTGCTTCACAGCTCCTCCTTGTGGTCAAGGATCCCCAGGACCTAGTAGCAAGCAGATGGTGGGAGTCTGCAGACACTCCTGCTGCCAAAGCAGCCTGGCATCGGCAGCCCAAACCCAGAGAGGCAGTTGAGCCTTTTGCTCTCGAACAGGTCACTGGCAAACTGCCTAGTCCTGCCACATGTGTATTCCCCATCTTTTTATTCCACCATGTATCTTAGATTGCAGTTAAGTATGAATTAAAGCAAGCATCTGATACACTTCAGAAATACTTAAAGCGGAGGCCTATATTCAGGATTGTTCTGCAAAGTCTGATCATCAATTTTTTCAGTGTGACTAAATATTGCAGGCAAATGGAACGTGATGGCTGGGAACCATTTTATTGAACTCATGGACATAGATTCTTTTATCTTCAAATACTCTTGAAATGTCTCTAGTTCATTTGTCTGTTGAAAATAAAATGAAAAATGAAAATAAAATGAAAAATGTTGAATTGCATCCTCTCTAGTGAAAAAGTAAAGGGGCCTGCAACATTTATTTCTATCAGAAATAACAGGTCATAGTTATGACATGGTTTATATGGATGTTCTTTGGCAGCAGCAGAAGTTCCTCTGCTTTTTAACTAGTACAACAAATTAATTATGAAAAAAGTCTTCACGTAGTAGAGTCATAAAATTCTGATTCTAATTACAACTGTTAGCTTAATTCACAAAAAGTTTACTCTTGGACTTGTGGTGAACGGTACTGTGAGGAAGTCAGTCTATCCAGAACAGTGTTTGTGCTGCACTGAAACTTACGGAATGGTATCAGCTTTTCAGACAGAAGGAGAAAAAAAAAAATCACTGCAGCAAGAAAGCAACAAGAAACATTTTGATGGGAGCATTCATGGAAAATAGGTGAAGCTTGAGCCTGATAGAAATGAAAGTATGAGGATGCCACTGGAGGTGCCCATCAGCATGCCTGCTGCTTCAGATCTCTATGGTTCAGTGTGATAGGGCAATGTTCTAAGATATCAGCTCTTCCATATGGATGGCAAATGTTACAGGTCTACATCCTCAGCTCATGTAAATAATGTTGCCCTATGAATAAGGTTGCACCAATTTAGAACTACTGCATATTTGATCTTGCCTATCAGATTTCCAAAAGGTTGCCCTCTGATTTTGCTTTTGCAGTGCTAGTTGTGTTCTCGTGCAAGCACCATAGCTACTAAACTCTGTTTGATCATATAGGATTGCAGATACAATGTTACTGATGCAAAAGCTCATGTCACATTTGTAAAATGTATCATAAAACCCCAAAGGCTTTTTTGCCCATGTTGAAATCAAATTTGTTTAATTTCTATTTGAAACTGTGCAGGCTGTTTTAATTTTAGCTCCCTAGATTGTGTTCTGTTCACTTTGGCTATTTTACCATAGTCATTAATCTAAAAACAACTATTTATTTCTCTGCGTACATTCAGTATGTCAGAATGTGGAACAGTAATTCCAGCTCTCTTGTCATGTATCCATATTTGCACCAGGGTGAAATGAGTGCTAGGTATCACCATGTCAGAATCGCCACATTTCTTGCCCAGTCTGCATGGCAAAATTAGGTGTACAAGTCACAGCACAATATTGACTTTAAGTTTTTAACTTTTATTTTTCATGCATATTCACAGCTTCTTAGGGACTATTTATTTTAGCATGCCAAAAATGAGCTGGAACCTTACAATATTTATGTTGGCAATGTTAAGATTCTTATCATAAGAAGTGTGTAATCTAAAAGCATTTGAAAAATGCACAGTGAAGTTGAAAACATATCAGCGTGGACTGTGTTTCTTTAAAACTCTGGAATTTTAGAACCTTCACAATGTTAGTAGCAGGCTTCACTGGGTAGTAAATCTCTGTACATGGCAGGTGATAGAGAATAAGCAATCTTTATGACAGAGTCTGTACCATAGTATTTTTCCTTACAGTCCCCTCTGCATGTTTGCAGTGAGAGCTGGTACTATAGCCACTAAAGAGAAGGTCTCTTTGCAGAGCAGGTATATGTTTGGACACTCTGCAATATACAAAATAATTTTAAATCGAGGCAGCAATTGAAGTGGAAGTCAACATAGTGTCTGTAGGAAATTGTGACCAAAGTGTTTTATTCAAGTTCAATTTTACTTATGGTTTGTTTGGTTGTTTTTTTGGGTCATGTGTTAAACGTGACAAAAATTTGTTGATTTTACAATAAGATATGTTTTCCTTTTTAGGATTTACAGAACTGTTTTCAAGAGCAGATACGACTTCAGGGCCAGGTGAGGCTTCTGGAGCATCGTGTGAAACAGCAGCAGTTAAAAATTATACAGCTTTTAGAGAAGAAAGAGATTCAGTACAGTGACAGAGGAGATGAAAACAGTGTCATTGACTTGGGAGGAAAAAGACAGTATTCAGGTTAGAAATGAAGCCATTCTTTTCGTTTCCGTTCATGGTAATGATACCCAGAAGCTTTAGCACAATTGGGCCCATTGACTTATTGTATTAAAAGCTCATAGAAAATTGTTTGTTTAAAACACAGCGTTCAGCTTTTACCTAGGCCTGCTGCCACAGGGAAAAATTGTTAGTGTCACACGGTATGAATCGAATCAGGATTGAAGCAGTTTATTGATTTATTAATAGCAAATAATTAAAAAACAATCAGTGAACAATAAATTCAGAATAAATATCAGCAACACAACAGATAAAAGCCAATAGTAGACATCTACAAAATGTTAATAAACAGTTACAGATTTCTAAACACCCTTCTTTTAGACTAATCTCAAAAAGTGCTAACCCACAGGGTCAGTTCACATTCACAGATTCACGGGGTCACGTGGGTTACAAGAACACACCAACTCTGTTCCAATCTGTGAAGTCCCTGGGACATCCATATTTACACACATAAGCCTGGCATAGTGATATCTGCATCTCACTTTAGTAGTATTCTGTGTTGCACCATTTTGACTGACTTAGGTTCAGCTCAGGACATCACAGCTTCTAAAATACTGTTTTTAAGTTGTTTTTGTAATCTCACCAGCATTCTGGTGGTGATCCGGTCCCTCTGCAGTGGAAGAAGGATAAGTGTGTTAGCTCGTAGTAGCTGGAGTGAGGCCCAATCTCTTAAACAATAAAATACCATCCAAACCAATAATTGGATTGAAAATACAATGTGGGGGTCTGATTCTTGGATGGTGTTAGTTGTCCAGCGCTACAGAGTCTAAACTTCTGTAATTTTTAATAACATTGTTTGAATCTACTTGTATTGTTTATGCTGCTGGAAGAAATCACAACATATAACAAGGCATCAAATACAATAAAGCACCATTAAAATGAAATTAAAAGTATTTGCAAGTCTGACTTTAAATTTTAGCTGTAAATTTATTTATGTATTCAGCATCCTGGAATACATTTTTTTATTATTATGCTGACATTTGTTGCTGGAAAAGATTATTAAAGCCACATTTAGCTGAAAGGTATTTGTCCTTTCTTAGCATATGCCTCAGTTTATTTTCTCAAAATGCAATTCTAAATAACATATCTAAGTTGTTGTAGTTTCTGATGATATTTTTTTTTCTCATTATTTTTTCTCTTTCCTTATAGCTTGGAAAACGCTTTTCCCTACTGAGACTGCATTATTTCATTCAAACTGCTGTAGCATTTTAATATCAACAGAGCTGGATAATTTGGACTTAGATAGTGAGGGAGAAATTCCACACTGTATACACCTGCTAAAAATTAAAATACGCTTAAGTGTTTTGCTAACCTGCTAAGAAAATAATGGACAAAAAAAGCTATTTTCTGTAAACCAATCAAACATTCTCTAGAAAAACAGTTTAGCTGTTATTTAAATCATGTTTTCTGTTAGATTTTATTCAAATCCTGGCATAGCTATTTATTTTCAGTATAAAGTGTTTATTTTCTGTGTCTGTTCTTCACTGACACTTTCACTGAGAAGAAATGTACTAGTTCAGAGAGTTCCAAACTGGCCTGGAAGTTCAGCCAACATGTTCATAAATGTTTCAGGGAAAATCTTACAGTTAATCAGCCCTACCTTTGCCAGGAAAAACAGATATGTTGAAAATTATACGTCTTTCCTGTATGACTGCTTGATGGTAGGTTACATATAAACAAAGAACTCCTTTCATTTCTGAACTCCTAGAGGAAAAAAAGATAAGATTATACAATTACACTGCTGTTATATTTTAATGAGCTCTGAATTTTGTCATTGCTGTAAATGCTGATTAGTCATTAACACTGATGAAGACCAGACTGTAAATGGTATCAAGGCGAAGTGATATCATTTTACACATACATTGCACTTTTTGAGGATAATCTTCTATGTATTTTTGCACCTGTTTGGTACAAGGGACAAGACTATCAGGCCAAGTAATTGTTTCCGTTTTCTAACACTGTTGATTCCATACGCTTGGTTTTGGCAGTTCTCCTGTGGACTGTCTGGACGTAGAAGTACACTTTTGTTTTTAAAGGTTACTGTGTGTTTATGTGTAAAGAAGTTACATAATTGTAACAGGATTCTAATGTGGATTATACCAATATAAATTAAAATTGACACCACTTAAACCAGAGGAATTATTTTGTTAGTCAAATGAAAACAAAACATGATAGTATTTTACAGTGGAATGAAGATTCTTTTAAACATATGTCAAAATAATTACAGCTCAATAAAGTTTTAAAGCAACAAAAATACAAGTAGATGTGCAAAAGCCACAAAGATGTGTTTGCAGAGGTATTTCCTTTGTATTAGCCTGGTTCATATGTGACTCTCATATGATGTGACTAGATTTCTGTTAATAACTTGATTTCTGATTCTGCCAGTAAGTACGGAACTATAGAAACTGTCTAATGAATATTTTGTGAACAGATTGTGCAGAAATCTACAATGACGGCCATAAACAAAGTGGATTTTACAATTGGGGTGGTTGGACTGTTTTTCAGAGACGTTCTGATGGCAGCCAGAATTTTGATAGGTGGGTACTAGACTTAGTCATTAAAATTAGAAACAAAGCAGAGAAACATTACACCAGATGGAGCTAAGTTAAATCTTAACTTTAGAATTGTATGAACAAGGTGTTATCTCAGATAAAAGGAAGGAACGGTTATTCTGTGGGACAGCCTCCAGCCCAGATACCACTTCTGGTGCTGTCTCTCTTCTTGGAGACATCTCTTATAGTCCTTTTCTGACAGCTTGTGCATTTTACATGAGGACACTTCAATGTCAAATGCATTAACAATTGTTGGAGTAAGAACTTTTAATGACAAGTAAAGAACTACCTTGTCTTTTGCAAATAGTAAAAATCTACAAAAGTAAAAATGTAAGCAATCTGCCTGAACCAAAATACAATCAGCAAACAAGTATGAGAGAAACCCACCCCACAGTAATTTGTAGCTCATGGTAAAATTGCCCCAGGAAAGATAAGATGGGTAAGAACTTGGTTTGTGGAAACCGAACCTGTCTGCCTTTGCCAAGACTCAAGCATTGTGGAGCAATGTCCAGAAGTGAAATTTTTGGTGCTGTGAGACTTGAATGTAAAAACCCACAAATATTTGCAGATATGAGAAGCAACAAGAAGGTTTTTAGAACCTCCACTTTGTCGAATTTGCTTTTCACATATCTGCATCCTTCTGTGGATTTATCTTACCTGTGTTTAGAATTGCTGTAACTAACTTTACCACGCCGTTACAAAATAGAGAAGCAATCTCCAGAGAGGCCAAAAAACTGCAATCCAGCCAAGAAAACTTTGCTATTCTTATTTTATTAAATATGGTCAGACAAGCTACAGAAGCAATCTGTAGCAGTATGCAATTGTTACTACCACACACCACCCATTCTTCCTTGCCAGAGACTACCAGCTACCGAAGTCACGGAGGCTGCTTTCTCTTATGACTGCCTGTCCACAGCCTAATACTTTCACCCATTCTTCACTGATTGAAGTATGGTTGCTTCTCGTCAAGGAAACAGATCATATTTTTGTCCCTGTTAGAACATATCATGGAACCAAAAGCACTGAGAAAGTGCTTCAAAGCCACTGCAGACAGGGAAAAGATTCAATGCATGCAGTATACACATTCATTCTTGAAACTATGCACTAGTATGAGTTCAAAAATTGTTAGAATCAGTCAATACGTCAAAGCTGGAAACAGCTAGCTAATACCTCAATTTACAAAATTATATATCCAGCTGCAGGAGTTTCACAGCTTAATCAAATCACAGAAAATAAAGAAACGATGCTTGTGATACACCTAAGCATTCACTTAGATCAGCTGGATTTAACCAGGAAAAATGTTTTCACTTTGGGTAAGTTGGTCTATACCAGAGATTAGACTGAGTATTTTCTTCTGGTCTTAAAACCTGTTAATCTTCAACCACTTTGAATGTACCATTTAGCACTACTCTTTGGACTGGGATTCAGTGACCAGTGTGATGTGGCATTCAGCCTTTCACATGTGAGAAATAGAAATAATTCTGTGAAGATCAACAATGTAAATAAAATAAACATCCTAGCAAACTTGCTTTTTTGATAAATTAGTAATTTATACTCCTTTTAGAGGCTGGACTGACTATGAAGAAGGCTTTGGAAATTTTGTTTTGACAAATGGTGAATATTGGCTTGGAAATAAAAATCTTCATTATTTGACTAATCAAGGTAAGATTTATGTTGTAAAAATAGTCTTCTATTGTATTTGTTTCTTTGCTCTTTCCAGGCCATTTTTGTTACCCTTTTTGTTCGCATAAATCCTGAGTTCTGTTGTTAGTCTGCATGGACTTCTCCAAGTTTCAGAACAAAGCACATTTGAAAATATTTTCAAACAAAGCACATTTGAAATATTTTCTAACAAAAGCTTCAAAACTGTCACGGGGCCAGTGGCATGCAGGGAGCCCTTGCAAAACAGGGAACAGCAGATAGGAGTATACCTCAAAGTAATCGTCTCTACCCATTTCACAGCAGCATCACTGACAGTCCAGAGTCAGATAGTATGGCGTACCAATTCATTCAGCTGGGGCTTTACATGGCTGCACAGGCTATTACATGAAGTTAAATTTAGGCCTCTCCTGTTGATTAGGCTAGTCTTAGAAAGCTATTTCCATCTTTCTAGTAGTCACTCAATCTAAGATAACTTCTGCTTTCCTGTAGAATGTTGCATATACCAAACTTACCCATTGACTTAGGTAGCTAATTCATACGGAAATCAATGCCAGCAGGATCTGGTCCTAGTTGAACTCTTAAAGCTAATTTTCTTACGTGTAAATGTATTGATTGATTCTCACTATCCTTTCATTATCACTTCAAATACCTTACTAAAATATAAAGCACATAACGCCATTTTTTTTTAGATTTTTTTTTTTTGTCTACACTTGAAAATCTGTATTGGAATAATTCTAGGATTTTCTAAGCTGCGTCAGGTGAATAAAGACAAAGATTAGCAAGATATGCTTTAATAGGCACAAAGAAAGAAGATAAAACTCCATAAAATATGCTGTGATGATAGAGATAAGATTAATGCTGAAAACATAGTATTTTAATCTTCTATTGTAATACTGTGTTCTGAAAAGTAGTGTGATAGGCTAGTTTAACCAAAATAATTTGTGTTGTTATTTCTTAAGGAAACTATACTTTAAGAATTGACCTAACTGATTTTGAAGGAGAACGACGTTTTGCACAATATGCAGGATTCAGAGTTGCAAGTAAAGAGGTAATAAAATATTAAATAATGACTAGAGGTTTTAAAGATAATGTGGATTCTGTAGACAGGCAATAAACATGTATGTTCCCTAATTTTCCCTAAGGTTTGTGTAGAACCTTGTTATCATATTTTCTTTCTTACAAATGCTTGGAATTTTCAAACATGTAATAGCAGTGATTTACACTGATACATCAGTTTCACACTTTCTGTAAGATGTATGCATCATTTGGTTTAGCAGCCACGGATAAAAGCAGTTTTTCTATTTTTGTTAATATTACCAACAATAATGGTACATGATGTTCTGATTTGTTAATATGTACTGCAAACTAACTCTAATATTGTTTTTGTTATGTCATTCATACATAAGGTTATTGACAAATTTTATTCCTGGTAAGCATCTTTACACCCCTTCCTTATCTAGTACACAGTGTTTAAGTGCTGTGACGCTTTTGAGTATAAAAGTAGTAGCAAATGGAACAGATTAGTTTCCTCTGTGGTTTCACTCTCTGACATCCTAAAGGTTAAAGACATACTGGAATGTGTTCTTTTTTTTCCTTTCTTCACATTTTTCGTTAGCATTCTTACGAGATGAGCTGTGGTGAATACTCTGGTACAGCTGGTGATTCCCTTACTGGCGGATTTCATCCTGAAGTAAAATGGTGGGCTGATCATCGAGGAATGAAATTCAGTACTAGAGACAGGGATAATGACAACTATGAAGGGAACTGTGCTGAAGAGGAAAAGGCTGGCTGGTGGTTTAACAGGTATTTTGATTTTATATCAGTATTGTCAACTATTCTGCTTCATGCATATTCATGCAATCATAACATATGGGAGAAGATTTGATTGGCATTGTTTATTATTTTTGCAATCTGCCCTTCACCCCTACCAGAGATCTCAGTGCTGGTAAGACTAAGACTCGCCTAAGAAGGGACAGCACCTACCACACAGCTCAGGCTGGTCTGTGATAATGGTATTTGCCACAGGCTTTGGTTGTCTTCATTATCAGACAGTAAGGAGAAGATAATTCTGCCCCTGTAAGGTAACCAGTTTTTACACAAGTAGGCCAAGTACATTTTGCAGACGCATCCCTGTTGTACTCCATTCTTGCATTTCTCCTGTAGTGCGCTAGACCAGATGTGGCAGTACAGCAGAATATCTGACAAGTTAAGCTAGTGCTGTGTTATTAAACCTCATTTTCCCACCTCGGTTCACAGCATCTCACTCTTATCATTTATTCTACATCAAGATGGGAATGTGTCCACTCAGTTTCTGTCAGTGAGCATGGCTGGCCTGAGAGGAAGATATTTTTAAATAGGGTTCAGTAAGAGAATTTTAAAATCCTACATACATACAAAATAACAATTCAAAAAGAATGGATAGAACTGGTAGCCTTAGCACTGTCTATATAGGCAGCTATGTTCTTTCCCTTAATTAATTAGATAAATATAGCCATGAAGAGAAACTATGCAATCTAGCTGTGTAATAGAGAGGTTAAAATACAACTCAGGAAAGCATCCTACTCTCTCACTGTGATCTCAGTTCACTTGGCAAGAACTGCCAGGCTGGATCAACTCCATTGTTTCGCTGTATTGTGTCATCCTTTGTTTCTGTTTAACTCCTCATTTTCCAAATTCTGTTTCCGTAAGTAGTCTCTGACCACCTTAGCTGATATGATGTAGCTATTAACTCAATGTTTTACAATGAATCACTTATTTTAATACATTTTTATATATTTGCATGGATAGTGGGTCAGCAGTATGTTTGAGACATATGGAAAGAAATCACGTGTAGACAAAGTTTTTTTGCAGTTCTCACAAAGACTAAGATATAAAAGGGAAAAGCAACTGTGTTGGAGATCCTTTTCCCATGAAATCGGAACTTTTGTGGATTTAGAGGAATATCTAGACCTCAGGTAGCATAAAACTCCGACACTGTGCCATGGAGTTTGTGAAGAGTGAATCACCAATCACTTTTAGTCAACTGCACACATTTTTTGTCTTTTGAAAACTTTTTTTTTTTTAATATTGGATTGGTCTGGACAAAAGAATGATGCCTTTGCAAAAGTAGTTGTACGGCAGAACTTGAGAGTTATTAATACCTTGTTGTTGGTGCTACATAACTACTAAAGATAGCTGACTCCTACCAGGCTAGTTCCTATTATGGCTGTGTAGCTCATGCTTTTAAAGTGACAGTCTATCTGGATAATGAAAATGAGTTACTAATAGCATTATTCCACTGCCTTGCTACTGACTTTTTTATGTTAAACCTAATGTAAAACCGAATACTGCAAAACACTAGAAAATTTCAGTAATCTTAAATCCTACCCAAAAGAACAGTGCTGGCAGAGAAAGGCAAGCACTCGCAACACGTATTTGTCATGCACAGATTAGCAAACATAGAAGGAATTAGTGCTCTTGGCTGGTTTCTATAGGAGCTCCCAGCTATGAAGGAATTTTTATCGCCAGCTCTATGTTATCTGGACTAATGAAATACAGAAACACCCATATAATATGAATACCAAAGGCTGTGACACAACTGAGGACACATGGAAGTAGCTCAGATGTAGTTTAAAGCCACTGCTTGTGCTCCAGCTCAGCACTTGTTATCCTGGACTTCTGCAGAAAAATGTGCTCTCTGCATTCTTTTGTAAGCAAGCTCTAGAAGAGATTTTCAGCTTGGATGCTGGGTTCGCTCTGGTACTACACCCAGGCCATAAGCTTTCCTGCATCCAGGGTATTGCAAAGGGCAGTAGGTCCATAACTGGTAGAAGAAGAGCTAAGTAGGATTCTACTTGGACATGAGCTGATACTCTCCCCAGCACTCCCGGTTTTAGTGACACCATGCATGATGATCACAGCAGATCTGCCAGGCATCACACTGGGGCCACAGCTCTCACTAACTCCGGCTTCCTGCCTCACCAGTCGTCCTGAAGGCAGCATAACTATGTCCTGTGGGGCTGCACTGGAGTCAGTAAGTCCAGGCAGAATTCAAACAGTTCTTCAGGGAACCAACTCCATCTCTCTGTGTCTGTCATACAGTTAATATATAATTCAGATAAAATGTCCATGGATAATTGAGAGTTGACTGTACTTTTGAAACAATTGCAGTGCAGTGTTTTACTTTAAAAATTAGCCTATCAGAAAGAAAGCAGGAACACAGGCTAAGTTTAAGGTGTTTATTGACTTGTGAATAATGAATGTTGCTTCAGAATTTCGTACCAATAATCACATGCCAGTTATTTCTTTAGTATGTCTGGTTACTTCAGACAGCCTCCAGCTGGTTACAGAATACTGTGTATTTTTGCTATTAGTGCCTCCCAGCGCTAATTAAGAGTTTTTACTGGCTCATGTTGCTGTTGACAAAATCACGTTTTGCCTGCTTCTATGAAAGGAAGTAAAAGAAGGGGTTCAGCTGATCTAGATACCTCTTAGCAGTTATGATTCTTCTAATGAAATCTGTGTTTTGATTGAAAGTAGACAGAGTGCTCAACGCAGAATTGTATGGCTAGAAAGATTATGTCAGCTCTGATGCAAGTTTGTCACTCTCAAAAACAGTCACTTTTGATATCTGCAGTTTATAAGCTTTCAACCAACACATTACCAAAACTGAGCTTAGAAATTTTAAGCAATGAATAAGCAAATATATATGAGAATTTTCCTATGAGTCTTTTATCACTGTTTTTATTTCAGTTCCCAAAGCCTGTTGTTAATGAAGTGTAAGCAAAGCCAAAGACACTCAGATTTGCCAGTAATAATATACATAAGCTTCATTTGGACTGCTTTCTGTTTGCATATTTTCTGAAGTCTGGTTTTTAAATCCATCATGGTGTTCGACAGCTAGATGTTAGCAGCACTTGTAACAAAATGCTGAACTGGCAAATAAGCCACGCCAATTCATTACAATGTGCTGCAGAAGAAACAACCGTTTTGCTCTCCACATGGTCACATAAGGATCTGAACTTCTTTCTTGTAGCAACCAAATGAGTATCGAGGTTGTGCTGGTACCTATTCAAGCCTTTTGGGTTTTGCTAGGGGTTTTGTTTGTTTGTTTGTTTGTTTGTTTTAACCACTGGATTTAATAAACTGTAACAGAATTTCTGCTTCAGTGTGTTCAAGAATGAAAAAAAAATGTACTTCATGTAGTCAAATAAAATGCCAGCTCCAATGATCCAGTGAATTGTACACATATGTTTAATTAGCTGCCAGATTTCATCTATTTGCAAATAGAAGTCCACAGCTGAATAGGCAAACTGATGGTGCTATTCACGTTTTGTAATACAAAACACCACGTGGGGTAACTGCAAAACTTCAGAGGGGCTACTCCAGAACAACAAAAAGCAGAACAGTATTTCTTTCCAAGCGTTTTGCTTGGTCTATACCCTGCTGCCACACATGACCTGAACAACTCTGGAACAATTCTCCACTGAAATAGATTAGCAGGCAAAACTCAGAGAGCTAGTAATGTCAGAAAACGTGTGGAAAGAACAAAAGGAACTTTTGTTTCAAAGCAGCTAAGAGCATTTGCAGTTATGCCCTAATTAAACTGTTATTGTTTCAGTGCACTGAAGTCCACAAATGCAAATTTTTGCAGCTGTCAACCTGGGCTGTTAACCAGCACAGCGAAATTTTTGACTTGCACAGAAACTGCAAAAGCTTGCAGCTTCTTAGCAGGAGGCCTGATTTCTGTTTTCCTTTGCTTTTCCCCCAGGTGTCACTCTGCCAACCTGAACGGTTTGTACTACAAAGGCCCCTATGCTGCAGGGACAGACAACGGCATCGTTTGGTACACTTGGCACGGGTGGTGGTATTCCCTGAAATCCGTTGTCATGAAGGTCAGACCAGCAGACTTTGAACCTAATACTGTTTAAGTTATTTTATTAAGACGATTTATCAAGTTAATCTTTCAGCAAATCAATCCAAATTAAAACAGATGGGCAGATTTATGCTCCTCATCTATGCATAGATAAATCTGGAACAATTCCTCTGCAACCAGTAGTTTCATGAGATGTAAATGAGAAGGCAATCTGGCCTGCGAATCTGTAGATACAAATACTAGTGCTGATATGTGTACAGGATTTTTAGTAAAAGGTGGGCATTCACCTAGGAATAAGGACATCTCCATCCACGTGGAGAAAATCTGTCTTCTGCGGTAACTACAAATCCTTTCACCTTTTAAAAAAACAGTATTGTCACTGTGTTGTCTCAAAAATGAAAATGAATTGTTCAAATTACAACCAAAAAACTGTTTAGATACAAGGCTGGTTTACTCAGCGGATGGAACATACTTTCTTTGGAATGATTCAAGGCTTCAGAAGTGAGTTGCCTGTAAATTCCTCTGATTTATTTGTTGTCTGTGTGGTGTACACAGTATCCATATGAAGTATAAAGAATGAGGCAGGAAACTGTCGGAAGAGAAGGGATGCTGCCAGGCTAGAATCAACTGAATCCAGCATGCAGAAGTGGATTGTCTGTTGTTGCTGAAGCATTTCTGGGGCTGGTTACATCATTTCAATCTAACATTTTTAGATGGTCAGTAATTATGCCTTTCTTTTTTTTTTTTTTTTTGTAACATTTGGTAACAAAACCTGGACTTTAATGTATTGACATTTGGAGTTTACCAAAAGGCTAAATAACAAAAGCTGCAACTAATTTTAATATGAGCTGCGCTTTGAACATAGACTATCATAATGCATGTGTAGAGGGAAGTATATTTCATGTGCACCCAAAATCTGGGATTTTAGAGGTTCTAGTGCTTGACTCTATAAATCTTTATGTATCTGTAAGTCTCCACAACTCTCCACACTCAAATGCCCTGTTCAGTCACTTCAAAGTGGTTCTGCTTTGAAGCCTATCTTCTCCTTTTCCTATGTCCTTGTCTTGGCTCCCTGAGCTTTCCCCCTTCTCAAGCTGCAGATATACAAGAAAAATTGTAACTGAGATTCTGCCTGCCCCTGGCTTTTGTGCCTAGCCCCACAGTAGACTCTAATAGCCAGTAAATAACAAGAGTCACTGATTAGTGCTTGCTGCCATGGAGAAGATAGGAACACTTCTAGAAAGCTATCTGATGACATGTAATCCATTTCTGCTGAGCAGATGCAAATGAAGATTTTCAAAAACACACTGATCTGAGCCAAACTTGGGCACTTTTATTTCCCTGCTTTCCTAAAATAATTTTGCTTTTGTGGTTTGACTGCCAGCCTCTCTCCCTCTGTCCAAATACAGTTTTTGAACCTGGCAGCCAATTTCAGTCAAGCTTAACATAATTGAACTAACTTTTGGCAATCTGTCAGTCAATTTATAACTACATTGATGTGAATACAGGTCAGCTGAATGATAACTCTTTGCATGGCCATTTTTCCTTCCATCTCCATCCTCTAAACCCAAAAGTTTGGCAAAAATCCTTGAAAGAATTGCATGGAATAAGAGAGAGAGGATGTGTAGAATAACTGGGGAGAAGAAAGAGAGGTTCATATGAAAAACTCTCTCTCAATAAGATAAATCAGATTACACCTAAATAAAAAAAAAGGGAATTAAGTAGAGAAAAAATGGGATTCAGGCAGCTAAGAAGAATGTTATCATATAACAATGGTGCTGATAAAAATCTGCAGTATAGAAGTTTTGAAGTCTGTGCTTTTTGTGGTAATAGCAGGTATTCTAGATAATCTAATCTTTTTCTTGATCTATCAATGGATATTCTGCTAGAGATTTCTAGCCTTTAGCACATTCCTGTACCCCTGCATGAGAGGACCAATGGGTAGCTCTACTACTGCTTATTTGGAACCTTGTTTAATCAGATAAACCAAATGAAATCCTGTATCTGACAGGGAGGCATACCAGCCTATGTATGTGCGTGTATGTATATATGTATATACTTATATACAGATATATAGGTTGCCCAGAGAGGTTGTGGAGTCTCCTTCTCTGGAGATATTCAAAACCCACCTGGACAAGGTCCTGTGTAGCCTGCTGTAGGTGACCCTGCTTCGGCAGGGGGGTTGGACCAGATGACCCACAGAGGTCCCTTCCAACCCCTACCATGCTGTGATTCTGTGATATATATTCAGCATTCAACATTAAAACAGAACATCTTCTATGTATTTTTATCCAATTTTATTACAGAATTAAAAATGGGTTCCTTTGTAACTCTATAAGCAGGTCTATAGGTATGGGACATTAATAATGCAATGGATGTTTTGGAGTAGTTTAAAAAGATCTTGTAAGTGCAGTATTTCCCCATCATGATTTTCAAATTCTTTTGCTAGTCTAAGAGGAGAAGGACTTAATTTTTTTTGCAAAAACATGGATGACATTATGTGGAAATTGTAAAAACATCCTTAGTTTTTCACAGGAAAATGGAAAGATTAGCTCATGCATTTGGAAAGTATCAAGACAGATCATATTCCACATAATTTAAATAAAAGACATGGAGGATTTGAGTACAGCACAGTTGGATCTCTAGCACACAGAAGAGACTCTTAACATGTACAGATCATGCTTATAAAATCTGCAGTAATTTTTTTGTTTGCTGCAGCATAAATCCGTCCTCTTTGCTTATGAGAACGCTAATGAAGTCTTTCAGCTAAGTTAGGGTGCTTTTGTCACATTCTGTTGTAAAACTTGACTCCCTTTCTCTATTGGAAATCATAAAATGAAGGAGGACCAGATCTTTCTTTGTACATCTTACAATACATTTCTATGTTTATTTGGACTGAATGCTCTTTAGAACAAGGACTTTGATATCCTAGCTGTCTGAAAAGCATCTAGCATGCTGCTAGCAATATGCAAATACAGTATTTAATTCCCACCATCTTTCTGTGGCCTCTCTTTGTGTAATAGATCTTTCTGGCCAAATGAAAAATGTGAAAGCAGTGTAATTCAAAATCGTCATATGATTGTTCTCAAATAAATAAACCCTTTATTTTCAAAAGGCAAGTTTAAATGGCTACTAGAAAAGAGTACAGCTTGGAAGAGATTTTTTTTCCCTGCCTGGCCTGGCCTGTTCATATTAATTTACTTCCTCAAAAGGTACGCACATGTTTTAAGGTAGTCTTTATTCTGACAAGATAACAGAACAAAGGCTAGTTTATTTGCTCAGTCACTAGGCAGAGTAACATCATAACTCCCAAATAGCTAAAAATTAATACATACCATTTGATACAAATCATGCAACCAAACAGAAGAAGAATAAGAATCAAGGAAATCAGAAGGAAAATGTTTTGTCAGTCATGATTTAATAAAGAACACAATGATAACTACCAGCAATGTATGATCAAAAATGCCTCCTTTTGTAGTATTTGTTCAAGGGGAACACCTTTATATTTTCAGTTGTCTATTTTTGTTTTCTTCCATCTGCGAAACATTTTGGAGATTAAGAGAAGGGAAACCACAAACCTGGGTGAATTAAATGAACAGTTAAAGAGCCTTATATTCTACCACATTTGTTTTGCCTCAAATGTCTAGTATGTGTTGACAGAGCTGAGGTACTACAACCTGGCCTACTGCATTCTAGTGGAGAGTCTTCTCTTCAGCTCTACTGCCTAGCTAGAGCCTACCTCTCCCCACCATTCGCAAAACTGTTACTCCTGACACCAGTTCTTGCACCCCTTTTCTAATATTTTGTTCTGTCAAAGCTACTTCTCCTCACTGTTAGCAAAATGGTATACCCAGAAAGGGGAACCGAAACACAGCTTGCCAGATCCGTGAACATTCCTCTCAAGTTCCTTTAGTTTATTCCTCATTAGCTCAAAAAGAATGAAAATGCAGCTTTTCATACCCTCTTTTTTCTTTTCCTCGGTAGTAGGTTCTCTTTGACAGGTGTGAAAGGGTAGAAATAGCAGAAAACGTACCCAGCGAATATTCTGTATCTACATCTTCAAAAATATCCACTTATGTCTGTCCTGTTTTTTTAAAAGGTCTATTAAGAGGTCAATTTAGAAAGCAAAAAATAGAGTTATTCCAAACCAGGAGGTACTCTGAAATGAATATGAGCATATGCTTGCTGGTTTTTCAGAGTAGGTCTGAGCATTGGGGAATCGGCAAGGTTTCAAGCATTCAGCCAAAATCTGTATGCAATATATGGTCAGAGAGAGAAAAGTTATTGTTTTCTGTTGGTTAAAGTGCTTGTTCAAAGAGAATGTAAAACCTTACAGTGATAGTAGGTCTTTGATGCTTAATTAGTTTTTCATTGCATACATAGTGTTCATCTAAAAATCATCTTTTCCAAGTACCTGAGGGCCGTCTTAACCTTTGCTTAGTGCAGGATGAAATCTGGCTTGTCATTGCCACATCTTCAGTTAACCAAGACAGTTCCTCTTAATCCTAACCTAATGCTGAATAGATTGCATCAGAAGCATAATGTTGATACCCAAACATTGATTAAACACCACTGTGGACAAATTAATGTGTGTGTTTGCTTGCAGAAGAACCAGAATATGGCCTCTGCAGGAAAAAAAAAACAACCCTGTAGCTCACTTTTTTCCCCCTTCCTCATAAATACCTGTGTGTAAGTTTCTTTTATCTGTCTCCTATAGAATCTAAGCTTCCTTCCTTAGTTCTTTTCTTTCCTTCTTAATGACAGCCAGATCTTTCATCTTGCCCGTTAGTCCCGGTTTGCATACTTGTGAATGCCTGGCTTGAGGAACCTGGGTAGCTCTGAGGTTCTGCAGAAGTTGAGCAAAGGCTCTGAGGAGCTCAGTTGTGTACTTAAGGCACATAAAATGGCAGTTGGGTCTCTAAATCTGTTATAAGAACCAGTGTCCAACCTAGCTGACAAACAGATTGGATTGAATTATTGTAAAGAATATATCACCCAACACTGTGGGCAGGAAGATAAGCAAATTCATCTTTAAAGTATGTGGTTCTCACAAAT